ATAAATTACACATCATTCATCTCGCCTGCTTCATTGAAACCCCAGTCTACATATTTGTCTGCTTCACTTGTGAAATGTGGTAAGTTGTATATGACAACAGGAGGATAACCCAATTTCTGCTTTCAAAATGAAAAGGTTTATCTTGGTTGAGGTTGGTTGTTTTTTTGGGGTCTTTTTAAGCACTTCAGAGGTCTCCCACATTGCCATTGTTCCTTGGAGACATCTCACGTGGTGAGGCACACGCATTCGTGTGCCTGTGCTGACAGCTCCTCCCAGCCATCCCTCCCGGCAGGGTCAGTGTTTTCGAGGTAGGAGTCAGAGATCTGTTTGCAAAAATCAAAAATAGAAGAAAAAAACAGTCAGTTAGGTTTCTAAATGCAGGCACCAGGGTGCCGCCCGAGTTGTTCTTTGCGGGCATCCGCAGGGACTGTGTGTATCCCTGCCTTTGTCCATCCAGACTGGCTTTACCTTTGGAAAACTGCAACTCTTCCCCAAGTACACCATGAAAAGCTTCAGGAGCTCCACGTGCCTTGCTGGCGGTTGAAAGAACAATCTATCTGGAGGCAGGTTCAAAGTAAAGGCAAGAAGGTCCTTCACGCAGTGCGGCGTTAGAGGTGGATCCGGCAGCACCGGACACAAAGGCAATTAACAGTTTGCAGGGATCGAGAAGTGATTAAGCACATTTGTGACAGAAAGATCTGATGAACGCTTAGTAAACAGACAAACATCACCTCTTTCTCAAGCCAGAAAGCCCCAGTTTCGGGGATAGTATTTAACCTATTGATAGCACAGCACAGGTTTCAGCCTTGGAAGCAGGACCCGGCTATATTCGGTGCTATATTTATACGTAGGCACCCTGTGCATGCATCAGCTGTGCTGTGTGGTAGCAAAATTACATCAGATAGGTAATCCTAAATTAGAAAGTAGTTTCATATCCCACCTTCATTCAGCCTCTCACCCGAGAAAGACTCTTGTAATAAAAATCAGGATTTTTCTCCTTCCCAGCAGCTCCCATCCCTTCCCAGTACAGGGGTCACAGGGCTGGGATGGGAGCTGGCTCCTTAGGGTGCTCATGATCAGTTGTTATTTTAGCTCATCTCCAAAAGGAGATGTCTCTGCAGTGACAGCAACGGGCAGGACAGGGATTTGGGGGAGTTTCAAAGCAGCAAGGTGGAGTTTCTAACTTTGGGGCTTTATGCTCAGATTTGCCTGCGGCAGATATCAGTAGTCTTGCCAGCCCTTACAGCAGCAAAAGCCTTGTGACAGAAAGCATCAGGCATCCTTGAAGCAGCACACGAGGGAACTAATGAGGCTTTAATGTGATTAGTGCCTGCGACCCCCTGCACAACCACGGGTAGCGTGCTGGGACCCCGGGATGTGGGAGCCCAAACCCAGGACCCATCCTAACCGTGGCTGACCCAGGGGGGCTTGTTGTGGCAGTGAAGGGTGAGACATCCCAGATGTCTGGGAGTGCATGGCAGCAGGTATGGAGCTGAAGGGGGGCTCCTGCATTCAGGGAGAGGGTGGAGAGGGGTTTCAGGGGGTGGCCAGCCCCTGTCCCCTTGCCCAGAGGCAGCTCCAGCTTTCCTCCCATGCTGCCCTCTCCAGATCCCTCTGTTTTCTGGCAGATAGGATTAAGCCTGACCTTCTCCCCCGTCTCGGAGAGAGCCAAACCTCTTTCAGATCTAATTATTTTCCATTTTTGTTTAATTTTGCACATCCTGGTGCTGTCTGAGAAGAAGAGCAGCTCCTGACAGGGCAAGGAAGGGCACCTGGCCCCTTGCCAGCCGTAGGCTTTCGGACTAATGCTCCAACTTTTGGGGTTGTTGTTTCAAACACCCAAATCTCTTGGAGGCCCAAGGCAAGTTTCCCAAAAAGGGGCTCTGGCACCATCCTGTGTTTCTCCAGTGGTGACCTTCACGCTCAGCCCCACACTGCAAAGAAGAGGAGCCCGGCCACCGCCACCTGCCTCCCCTATCCTCCTCCTCCTCCTCCCCTGCACCCAGTTTGCACCAGGCTCTTTTTTTTCTGCGTGTATTTTGCTACCTAGTTTCTATGTGCAAGTGATACCCACTTCTTTTAGCAATGCATTGCATGCGTTCTTTTAATGATCTTTTGATTTCTCTGTTTATCTGAGCTGCTGCAACATCACTCAGCGTCTCCCCACAGGCAGTGCTGGGCTGGGGTTTGTTGGTGCCAGCCTGAAAGTGCTGCTGAATCGCCCCAACGGCAATGATAAAATGTGGGGGTGATAAGGGGATGGGTGACATCCCTCTGCAGGAGGAAGGGAGAAAATACGATGGGTTTTCAACCCGCCAGGCAGCTGGCTGAGAGGCAGGGAGAGAGAGGGGATGGAGAAATCAGATTAAGCATGACAGAAGGTTTTGCCTGTACCAGTTACATCTGCACATGGAAAATACGAGATGCTCTGGTAGACCTTGAGTCCTGCTATGCCAGCGTATTTTTGACAACTTCACTTAGGTTGAATGTTGCTTTTCCAAATCCCATTTTTTAGCACCAGAACAACCTCACAGCATCCTTGTGGGCACAGGAGCATGCCCAGAGTACCAAAACTCGCTTCTGCTGCAAACGAAGCAGTTCCTTCTCCACCAAAACTCTAGCACACCATGTCCCTTGCACCTCTCAGCACAACAGTATGAGATGGCTCAGGCACGCCATCGCCCGGGTCGGGAAGCGGCTTGGGAGGAGAGGTGGGTCTGTGGAGAAGTAAATACCACTGCAGAAAGTTCCAGCGAGAGCCGTTGGCGTTTCCAGCAAGCCATCTAGTGGCTTCCTATTAAAATGGTTGCTTGCCTTGAAACTGGGAAGACAAAGCTGAAGGGATGAGTGCTTCTCACCACAGCAGTTGTGTTGGGGAACCGACATGCAGGGTTTGGTCCCAATTGGGAAAGGATTCTACTGTAATAGCTGTCTTCTGGGTCAGGGGGTGGTGGAAGGGTTGGGTTAGCTGCTGGGTGGCCCAAGAGCAAACCTGATGGGTGATCCTACAGATGGACATCCAGATCTTCATTTCACTGGTGTGGGTTTGGTTACCCTAGCTCAAAAACACATGAAGGATATAGGGATAATCAATAATTTAGAGCAGCTTCCTCTACAGTATGGATAGGAGACAGCAGACAGGGAGGAAGAACATAAAGTTTTGGGGTCTTTTTAATAACTTGAGAGCTCAGGGCATTTCACCTAGTGAAGTTTTGGGAAGTGGGTTTAAAGCAGACAGAAGGAAGTCCTTTTGCACCAGATGGTTCAGTTGTGGCGCCCTTAGGCACATCCTGCTAGAAGACAGAAAGTTTGAAGGCTTCATAGACAGGTTTCATAAATGCTGGAAGAGGGACTGACCCAGGGCTGGGAAGCATCAGTCGGGTGGTCTAGGTATATCCTGAGCCATCCTTGTCTGGTGTTTGTATAAACTGCTCAGAAAAGCCTCCAGTGATGGAGATTTCACATCTGTAAGCAACCTCTCTGCGCATCACTAGCCCTACCTGTGGGAGGTGGTTTCTTCATGTCCAACCTCGTTCACCTTTGCTGCAGTTCAAACCTATTACTACGATCCCCAGGAGACATGGAGAGCAGCTTGTCAACGCCAGTCTTCACCTCTCAGACAGATGACAGGCTGGCTGATGCAGTTTTTATGTGCAACATGGCATTTTGACTGATGTTCAGCCTGTGATGCTTCCCGACCTCGGGCTCTTCCCCACCTGGTACTGCACAGTGATTTGTTCCCACCAGCATGCAGATGTTTGCACCTACTTAATGCAGCTATTTTTTCCCCACTTTTCTCCAGGTCTCAACACTGCTTGACTTCTAATCCAGTTTTCTGGAGTGTTTTCATTTCTCCTAGCGTGATACCTGCACATCGAATACATTTAGCACAGCACCCGGAACACCGATGACATACTGGGTAGTGTCACGGCCGGGCCGAGTCCCCTTGCTCAGCACATCCTCCCAGTCTGACGGTGAATCACCAGTAACGACTCTCTCCGTATGGTTTTCTGATGAGTTGTGTGCCCACATTAGAGCAGTTTCGCCTGAGCGTGTTTCTCTGGTGTGCTGCTGAGGAAGCCATGTGTGGCAACACCTAATGAATATCAAGATATACGGTGCTGACTGCTTCTCCAGCTATTCACAGGCCAGTTACTCTGTTGAGGGAGGAAATTAAATTGTTCTTGACAAATCAGTGTCAGCAGTCACTTATCATCTTGTTATCTTCTAAGTGCTCACAAATAGGTTGTTTCATTATTTGTTCCATCAGTTTTCCAGGAGTTGGAGTTAAGTGACGAGTTTGTAATTCCCCGACTTTTCCTTTTGCATATTTTTAAAGCTAAATCCTATGTTTGCTTTTTTTACTGGTCTTCTAAAACCTCTCCTATCTGCCACAAGCTAACAGAGGAACAATAGCTCTGTGGCTGCTTCAGCTGAGCCCTTCTTTCAATACCTTTGGGGCAGCTTATCGCTCCAGGCTGGCGGGGGGGGCCAACACCCCAGTTTGGTTATTGCCCTCCTGCTGGGATGCTTCTTCTCTTCGCCTTCTGTAGCTCTTGCCTGTGTTAGTTCATTTGAGTCTTGACCCTTTGATTTTCCAACCAGTGCTTTTAAAAGGTTTATCCACAAAGTGCTTTTGTCTAGTGTCTTGCGGAATCTGCAACAATACAGAAAATTTGGGCCAGATTGTGACTTAGATTAACATTAGGACAACAGCAGTGGAGCTATGTGGCTGTAGAGGTGGGTGTAATTTGGCTTTTATAGGGATTTTCGGGAGCATCTGGTAACTCTGGGTGTTCAGTTCAGCATGTCTTGCTGTGACCTTGATTTTCAGAGAGTGGTGACCCCCCTGACTGGGAGATGCTCAAGCAGTGGCATCGCACACACAGGCATCCCTTTGGTGTGTCATATTTACTCTGCCAGGGTCTATTTATTTCTTTATTAGCCGTGTTTGCCGATTTCTCAATTCTCTTCTTTTTTTTTTCCTATTCCTTCAACAGGAATCATTAACCAATGGCAACAGGAATCCAAGGATAAAGTGATTTCCCTATTGTTAACCCACCTGCCTTTACTGAAGCCTGGAAATATTGAGGCAAAAGTCGAATACATGAAACTCTTGCCTAAAATCCTGGCCCACTCGATCGAACACAACCAACACATCGAGGAGAGCAGGCAGCTGCTGTCCTACGCCTTGATACACCCCGCCACCTCCTTAGAGGACAGGAGCGCCCTGGCCATGTGGCTCAACCACCTGGAGGACCGCACGTCGGGTGGCTTTGGCAACCAGAACAGAGGTCGGTCGGATTCGGTGGACTACGGGCAGACGCACTACTATCACCAAAGACAAAACTCCGACGACAAACTCAACGGATGGCAAAATTCTCGAGACTCGGGCATAAGCGTCAGCGCTTCCAGCTGGCAGGACAAAAACCTGGCGTGCGAGAATGGCCATCTGCCCCTCTACTCCTCCTCCTCCGTCCCCACAACCATCAACACCATTGGCACTAGCACAAGCACCAGTAAGTACCCATGGGAAGCTCTGGGCACGGCCACCCACGGCCGCTCTTCACAGCATGGTCCCCCCCATTCTGCTAGAAAATACTACTTTTCCATGGTTATAGAGGGGCTAGGTTCATCTAGGCCATAGAAAACTTTTTTTCTTTCTTTCCCCTACCTGCTTTTTTATTTCCTGCCTGCCTTTTTTTTTCTTTTTTTTTTTTTTCTCTCTAGTCCTGTGGGATTTTAAAGACCTGGTAGCTGGAGAGGGGGGAAAAACAGCCAAGCTGTAAGAGAAAAAAATGTGCGTTATCAAAGAGAGCCCCTTTTATTTCATGTAGTTCCATCTAGATTTGCAGTTCATGTTTCAAGAGTTCCTAAAGCAAGCGGGGAGATGATGTTTCATGTCCAAAAGTGAGCTGAGCGGCTTGAGGCAAGTCCAGAAGTGAGTTAGGGGACTTCAGCCAAGTCCAGAAGTGAGCTGGGGGTTTACCGGGAGAAAAAGAGATTGGGCCCCAAAGCACAAGCATCATTTTTGGAAGCAGGACTGCGATCTACAGTCTTCAGGGCATGTCTGAAAACATTCCCTTCTGCAACACATAGAGGAGTGAAACTGGTGGTGATGAGGGGGTTTAGATGCCCAGTCTTCAATGTTTTCCAGGAGGGCTGGGTAGCTCTTCCCCTCTGGAGACCCTGCCAGGCTGTGATGGGAGCAGTGGATGATGCAGAGTCCAGCCCAAGGCTCAGACACTCAGAGAGCCTGCAGAGCACTGTGGCTGGAGATCTATCACTGGTTTTGTGTGAAGATGCAGTGTGGCTAGAACTGTTTTTAAAAGCAGCCAGTGATGCTTGCAAGCCATCCTTGGGAGAGGAGGAGCAAAGCATCTTCTCAGTGGGGTTCAAGAGCTCCTCTGCCCACCCGTTCCCTCTGTCACCTTGGGTGACAGCCACGTTCTCGCCTACAAGGCTGGACGTCCTCCTTCGCTTCAGAGCGTTCAGGAGGTCTCTCTCCAAGAGACTTGGCATCTTCCTAGATATAAGGGATGCAGAGAGTACTTGGGGAGGAGACGCTTCTTGCGGTGAGGGCGCTGGCTTCTCTATCAGTGTGTGGAAAGCCACAATTAAATAGCTGAAAGCTTTAAAATGGTCACTTAAGGCTTCTGGGTTTTTCCCTCTCCTGTAATAAGCATTTTTTTTAGGTGGTGTTTCAAACCGACAGTGATATGCAACACGGCTCGGGGTATATTGCTGTAACACCCTGGTCCCTGCTTCTCCAGTGTCCATCCTTTCAGGCAGCGCTGCCTGCTCTGCCACATGGGGATTTAGCAGAAGGGTCTCAGCTTCTCCACCCGCTCTGAACATCATGCCCATCCTGTCCCCCGTCTTTGAAGCCCCGGCTCCTACTGCCATGGGAGTTTGTGAGGTTCAGCTTCTCTGAGAGCTGGATCCCTACGCTGCAGAGCAGAGCTGTGTCAGGGTGACCAAGCCCCTTGGGAAAGGCTTAACAGGGAGGCAGGGTGAGAAGAACCATGAATGTAGTTGCAATTGGTCTGTTAAACCTCTCCAGGGATTATTTTTTGGGAGGTTCTTCCGTGTGGTTTTTGCATGCCTCGGGGTTTGGAGGCTTCGCACGCCAGGGAGGCAGTGGGAAGAGGTGGCTTCAGAAGGGATCTGGTTCCTTGTGTCAAGAACTGGAAGCAGGGAGGTCTGATGGGTGCAACACATTCATCATTGACAGTGGTGGAGCTCTGCAAGATGCGTTAGGTCTTGAAGGATGCTTTTCCAAAACCCCTTTGTGTTTCTTTGAGCCTTCTTGCATGCAGGCTTCTCTTGTAGCAGAAGTAGTGACCCACCTCTTGCCCAGCAGGGTCCTCAGGTAGTAGCAGAAGGTGCCAAAACCCAGGCAACAGCCAAATTATGCAGCAGTGCCCGAGCTGCCGCACTGCTGAGGTTTTTCCTAAATTCTCCAGAATTAGGTGTGTGCAGCACTGAACAGGAGCATTTTTGGGTCTGTCAGCAGGGGTTGTACAGCTCTGCACTTTACCTTGGTCTTTTGCTGGAAGATCACGTCGCTGCTCCATCTCTGCCACTTGCTTTGCCACAGCATCCCATGCCCTAAGTCCAGTCCTTCCCAACATCCCACAATAGCTGCTTTTTGTGGCACCAGCTCACTCACACTGTCTTGCTCTGAGCTGCAAGGTTTATAGTGTCCATCTTCAGGGAACCTTTTCCACAAGCATCACACTGGGGTCAACACATTGAGGAGCTTTGCCGAGTCATCTAAACACATCTTCAGCCCCATCTACTCCTAAATGTTAAGCTGTTGTAACTCCTGCTAATGCATTTTGGTGGCAACACGTTCAGGCAACCTGTGGGCTGAGCTGGAGATGACCCAACCACTCTTCATGTGTTAGTTCATAAGCTTCCTTAACGCAATATTTGCTCGGACACAAGCACAGTAAGTCCACAGACAGATGCTAAAAAATAAACACGGCTGTCAGCCTTTGTCCCAGCCCCTTGAGTCAATCAATACATCTATTAATCTTTTATTCCAAAGCAAAGCCCTCGAACTGTTACTGTTTGCTAAGGTTTTAGCGTTATTATTTTTAAATTCTCCCTCTGACTTGGAGGTGTTTATCTGGGCAGGGACTTAATTCAGCAACACCCTCCAGGGCACAGCTTCCCCAACCCATCCCTGTAAAGGCACTGCCTGTTCCTGATGCCAAAATGGGGCAAAGTCTTTCCCGGAGGAGTAATGTGATGATCTTGCCTGAGGTACTTTCATCTGGTTTTGTGGCATAATTAGGTGTAACTCTATTACGGCATCAGGTTTAAATATGGGTAGGTGAAGTTCATGTAACAATTTGCTTTGTGCTCTCCTTGTCTTTGACTCAACCTAGACCCAGGCTTTGAGACTTGGTTCAGGCTTGGTTCGTCTTCAGCTCTCTCTTAACAGTGTTGGCTGGTGTTAGCCAAGGTTTGAGGAGATGTTGTTGGACTTCTCCAGCCTTTGCAGGGCAAGTCTGGAGTGTTCTGAAGATGTTGCTCTGGATTTACACCAGTGATGGTGATCCAGAAGCATCCTAAGTGATGGGTTTGGGTGTGGAGCCATCTGAGGGTCACGTGGTCCTTCCCATCCACTGCATCACCATAACTGTTTTCTCAGCCCATCCTGCAGAGCTTGAGCTGCAACTTTAAGCCAAGCTTTAGTGTGCCAGGAGTAAAGGTAGCCTTGGTGTGGGCTGGGGAGAGGGGGTGGGCAGGAGGCCAGAGCTGCTCCAGGCGTGGTGGGACAGGGTGAAGCCCTGGCTCTGCGGTTGAGTCAGGCAGCAGTTGCAAAACTGGTGGGTTGCACAATGTCTTTGCAGTGGAGACGGGGCCTGGAAGCTCTGAAAGGACAGAAACCAGCAGCTGGTTTTCAAAGCTGCAGACCAACAGCTTCTTGCGTGAGGGCTCCAGCTCCTTCCTTTCCCCTGTGTAATTGATTTCGCTTGAGCGTGATCTGATGGTGCAGGTTTTGGTTGTCAGATGGAAGTACAGCCTGTGTTTTCTGCCTACTCAGAAGGGAATATGTGCAGAGGAGATGAGGGTCTGCTCTTTAACAGGCTTGTCCAGAGCTGAGAAGGTGGGGTGCAGGTACAAGGGTCTGATTTGGATGTAAGGTCTGCAAGCAAGAAAAGAGAAAGAAAAGCACAAGGTTTGGCAGGAGTGCCAGCAACTCCAGTTTCAGTAGTAAGCCTGTTGAAGCACAGCTACAGAGTTAAGAATTTGGTTCCTGGCATCTGCTGGATGAGTGTCTTGGTCCTCTGCTCCCAGTATATAACCTGGGGATAACAGTATTACTTCTTATATCAATGTATGGTGGAATTTTCCTGTGCTCCCACCTCTGGTGTAGTGCCAGGGCACTTAAACTCCCCATGGAGAGCAAGTTCCTGGGGGCAAGTCTCTGCACAGGGGCAGAAGGTCTTGGTTTTACTGCGGGAGCAACAGTAACTTATCCCAGATATTTGAATTAAGAGTCAGGCTCTTTCTGGCAGAGCAGCAAGAACCTACTTATGCCAGTACGTGTCCAGAAGAAGAGGCAGCTCAGTGCCAAGCACAGGTAGCACTTCAACCAGGGTGAGTGTCTCCTGTTGTCACCTTGCCTGGGGGACAGGAGCTCTGCCCAGCCTCTCTGTCAGCTGTAGTGCTGCCATAAAGCAACGGCACGACAGGTTCCCTGGAGAAGGTAGGCAACACATGGTCTTACTGGAGCCTTGTGTGTCTAGGAGTCAGTCTCCTGTCTGTCCTTGCAAAAAGAGAAGGAGGTCCCTGGCCTGGCTGGTGGTGCCCCGCAGCCCTGTCCTTGGGTGAGCACCCGCCGTGTCCCTGGTGTGCACCCTGGGTCGCTTGGAGAGGCACCAAGACCTGGAGGTGCGATGTGGGTGGCACCAGGGGACAAGGTGATGGTGTGGATCACAGGTCAGTGATGGACACGTACAGTCAGAGACCTTGTTATGGAATATCCTGCAGAGCAGAAATCCCAGGCATTGGGACTGTCCGTACGGGAGAGATGTTACGGACTCTGGCATTTTGGTGTCGCTGTGCTGCCTGGATTCCCCTGTGAGTGAACAGAGAGGTCCTTGGACCAGCAAAGCTGTTTGCCAGCCTGCAGCCACCCTTCTGTTTCTTCTCCACCCAGAGAGATGCTGAGTGCTCAGGCCTGCTACACCCTCCCCATGCGAGTCTCTGCCAGAAAACTATGTTGTTTGTCTATGAGGATGGAGAGAAGGAGAGCAAGCAGTGCCACGCAGGAGAAATACTCACCTATATAACCTCCTTGTCCTGAAAAAGAAAAATCTCTTATGTTGTCCTAGAGCTGAAGAGAAGGAATAAATCAGCGTACTTCTTTCCACGCACAACAGTCCACATTCGTGGCTCTCCCCCTGCACCTGCCAGCTCTCGAGAAATGCTTTCCTCTCAGTCATGCTCAGGTGGCACCAGCAAGATGTGCTGGTGACCAAACACCCAGTATCACAGGAAA